GAACAGTCATATTTTCCCATTCAGTTGTTCCTTCCTTTTATTGTTTTCGTATAGCAGAATACGCCTGTTGAATAGTCAAGCGCCAAAGATTTTCACTCTCAGCTCATATGAGGACTCAGAAGGAATGTAATCATACTTAAAAAATAAAGTATATTCTCAAATCTAGAAATTAACTAGTAATTGAAATTATCATCACAGTGTTTTAACTGATGACCATTGAACTCTTTTCTGGCTAACGGCTCATAGAGCATTAATTGCACGTCACATTACAGATCTGCCGAGTTAAGTTCTGTCTTGCCCTTGGGACTGTGAGGTCTAAAGCAACTTTGTAAGTGTCTTGCAGGGTACAAAAAAAAAAATCATGAAACTGAAGTTCTACTTGGTCTGTGAAGTAGGTGCCTCACTGTCCTTTCAAATGTCATTCCCTGCCCCTCAAACCCATATTATTATCTGTCACTTTTCAACACTGCTGAGACTCTCCACCTCCTTCTATTTCTATCCACAGCACCCAAGTAGCTCCCTAAGAATACTCCAGAAAATCATTCCCAACATAAAGCAAAACCAAAGGGTTTAGATCTTTATTTTATTTCTTTTGATCAATGTTTAGAAGCAGACAACCTAGTTTTTTTATAGACCTATAGACATTTTAATGGATTATTTAAAATAGATCATAATATAATAGTGACTGCTAGTAATAGAGGAACAGTACATATTCTAATTTAGGAACAAAAATATTTTTCTCTCTGGTATCCATCAGCAAGTGATATTACTAGATATAATATCTGCATTATAAAATTTGCATGATGCAAAAGAAGAAAAGCTGATGAAAATTAATGAAAAGTACCTTGAAAATGTGACTATGTGCAAAACTTTCTATAAACACAGAAGTACAAATCTTACTATTTCAAATTCAAAAGTGGGCTTCTTTTTCTTAACTTCATACAGAGCTTGGATTTGATCTTCACTGAAATTTTTTTTACTTTCCTAACCACTACTGAAAAAAACAACATGGAAGAAGTATCTACCAACTTAAGCAAATGGATTCTGAGCACCTTAGAAACACTCCTACATATCAGGAATGTAATTGTAACGCTAATTTAAAATTAACAGAATGCAAACTGGCATTTTATTATGCAAATCACATACCAATGTAATTAGCTACTTATTAAAGCAAGCAGGAATTAACCTCGTTAGATTTATCATACAAAATTAAGGTTTAAATGCACTGTTTCTCCATTTGGTTATCTGCTGAATTACAATATGTTGAATGGTATGTGTTTCTATACACAGACTCACACATCTCAGGAATACAAGAGCTAAAGTTTGATCACTGACAAATGTCTGAAGTAGGAAAGCATGGAAAGTAAATTCATCAACCATGTTCCTATTTGCACATGGACTCATGCAGGTTATCAGTGCTCATCATAAAATGAAATTATGTATGAATATTTCCTATATGTTGTCTTTCACTTCAAGAATCAAGGTTCAGTCACTATCATCACTTTCATGTGCTGTCTCGATAATCAAGACATAGATTCTTGTCTTGGCCACAGTAAATAAAGCTGCAATGAACCCTGGAGCACATATATCTTTACAGATAAATGTTTTCAGATTTTGAGGGTATATACATAGGAGAGGGATTGCTGGGTCATATGGTAATTCTATTCTTAATTTTTTGAGGAACCTCCACACTGCCTTCCATAGCGGCTGCACCAATCTGCATTCCCACCAACAGTGTATGACGGTTTCTTTTCTCCACAGCCTCTCCAACACTTGTTATTATTTGTCTTGTTGATGATAGCCATTCTTACTGGTGTGAGGTGATATCTCATTGTGGTTTTTATTTTCATTTCTCTAATGATTAGTGATGTTGAGCATCTTTTCATATGCATATTGGCCATCTGTATGTCTTTTTTGGAGAAATGTCTATTCAGATCCTCTGTCCATTTTTCGATTGAATTGTTTGTTTTTTTTTGTTGTTGTGTTGTATGAGTTCCTTATATATTTTGGATACTAGCCCCTTATTGGAGGCATTGTTTGTCAATATCTTCTCCCATTTGGTTGGTTGCATCTTTATTTTGTGAATGGTTTCTTTTGCTCTGCAGAAGGTCTTTAGTTTGATATAGTCCCATTCATTTTTGTCCTTTGATAGATGATTGGATAAAGAAGATGTGATATATATATATATATATATATATATATATATATATACAAAAGAATAAGTCACACAGAAAAAGTCAAGAACCATATGATTTCACTGATATGTGGGATATAAAACTGAAAGCAACAAAGGAACAAAACAAAGAAACAAAATCTCATAGATACTGACAATAGTTTAGTGGTTACCCGAGGGTAAGGGGGGGAGGTGATAGAAGAGGGTAAAAGGTGTCAAATATATGGTGATGGAAGGAGAGCTTGCTCTGGGTGGTAAACACACAATGTGATGTATAGATGATGTATTACAGAATGTTACCAGACCCCAATATTTTTACTTGAGTTGCCTGACTGTGTGCGCTGGCCCAAACAAATGCAAAAGCAGGAGTATGCAGTATAGTTTAATATTAAATTGGTCAATTTGGAGACAGAGAACTTATGCTTTAAAAACCCTGACTCCTCTGATAGCAAATACATTACAGATTATATAGTGCAAAATCACAAGACAGTGGGTTAAGGGTTCAGGGCCATGGTGAGCGCTAGCCAATTGGTTCAAGGTGAGATGAGGATAATAAATAATTTCTTCAGGTCTGAGGACAGTTCTGAGGTCTTTTCCAGTGTCCCTCTGTCCAGTCTAATGGGAAAGTAGCCTGTAGTCATTCCTCTTTAGGGCTCAGGAGCTGAAACATAACTTAGGTCACAATGTTACCTTTAGCCAGCCAGAGGCCTGGACTGTGTGACCATTAGTCAGGTCTGGGCTGCTGGCTTCTGCTGCCTGGGGGTTGCTGCTTATCCTGGGAAAGGTCTAGTCCTCTGACAGGTGTATGTAGAGAGAGAGGAATATGATTTCTAGAGCTTGGATTTAAAACTAAAATTAATCAGTCATAATGACCTTTGGTTTCAAAGACAAATATATTTCTAGTTCAGTCATTGGCTCAATATTTAGTATATCTAGGAAATTCTTATTTCTAATAAGTGATTGTATCACCTTTGACTATTCTTATGGGACATTTTTCTCATACAACTTTACTGAATCCAATTATGAGATTCTTTAAGAGTAGGATGCCATTTTTAAGTCTTTATTCAGATTGTTTTTCAATGTTTTATTTTTATCTCTCATTTAAAATCTCCATTCTTTTCTCAGAGTTATACTCGTACTCCTAGAGAAAAATGTTTTATAAAAGTCTTTTTTGTAAATAACTATAGAAGTATTTATATCACCAAGTAATAAATATCAAGATATATCTTACCATATATCTAAGTGGGATTAGTTCAAATCACTTAGTTTCCATGAGAATGCTTTATACCTGCTTAAGTTTAGTCTTTGTGTCTCTATTTAGAAAACGTGTTCTTGATGGCATTGAGACATCCAGAGCCAGACCTTTCAAGGGATTATTTTACTTCTTGGGTAATTAAGGCAATTTAGCCTTTGGTATAGAGGCTATGAATAGCACTTGAGGGATGAGGCATGTAATAATTACTCAGAAAGCCACTTGTATGTATTATGGCTCAGTTATAACATGCATTTAGAATGGCAGCAGACCGAATCAATATTAAAAGCCAGAGCACACATTTATAGTAAATATTCTTAATATCCAAAACAAAAGTGAAGACTTTTCTTACATAATAGAATATTCTGAGAAAAATCTCTTGTAATAAATAGACCTTAAGGCCAAGATTATCAAAATTAGCCTTGTTTATGTTATTGATTTTGCTCTTGTTTGCGTTTAGAAGAAATACATGATTAGAAGAAAGTGGTGGGTATTTCTATATTACTGCAGCATGTAGTGATCAATATATATTATGTTTTATACATATATTTTATTAATTATGTATATGCCTTTGTGTATGTGTGTGTGTGTGTGTGTGTGTGTGTATGTTGTCTCTTTCCAAACAATAGAATATAAACTCCATGAGGGTGAGAAATTGTCCTTTTATTCCCCATTACTATAAACAAATTTATTTGTTGAGTGAATATAAACAACCAATCATCGAGGCAATATGAAGAACAGACTAGTGACAGTAATAATAATTTGGCCTTATACAATAACTCGGCTTTCACTTTCTCTATGTAATAAAATTATCTAAAAGCTGTTGGAATGGGGCAAGGATGATGGACGTAAACGAATATCTAAAGTGGTAGAGTATTTTAAGTGTCTCATTCACCTTCTACCCTAAAGCTAGTTAGATATTTTTTTTTATTAAAAGATTTTTTATTGGGGAATTGGGGAAGGGAAACGTTGGGGAATCAGGGAAGGGGAACAGACAAGTTGCTGTCCTTTTGTTCTTCAGTCTAGTTGTGGAGGACGTTTCTTCACTGGCCCTGTTGGTATTATCATTGCGCTCTTCCTGGGTGAGGCAGTCACTCACCGGCCATTGGATGGCCACTCACAGCATCTCATGGCAGCTCACAAAAACTCACACCAGCTGCCGGCCAGCCCCACTGCAGCCTACACCGTCATGGGCGACTCACAGCAGCCCAGCTCCAGGTTGAGCTGTTGTTCACCATCTTAGCTGTAGAGGGCGCAGTGTGACTGGCCCTCATGTGGGATCCGAACTGGGGCCCTGCTGTTCAGAACTGGTGTCTCAAGCCAACTCCTAACCAACACACCACCCGGCCAGCCCAAAGCTAGTTTGATTTTTAATTTTAAGAATTTACTAGGTCATGGGAAAAAGCACTTGTCTTTGGTGTTTATATTGTTTGTCTCCTATAAAGGATAATGTAATGGTGTTTATTGTTATTTTTATTGTGCATACATTTTCCACATGTATGACTTCATAATAATGCTTTGTTTTCTTAATTAATGAGTACTTATTGATTTTGTTTGTTTGTCACTTCTAAACAGGAAGAATCTTCAAATTTAATGCAACATATCATAGATTTCTTCCAGTCTTTTGCAGATGGCTCATGTGAAAACGATGGTTAAGCAAACAACCAATGTATCTTGGATGCCTAAATAAAAGACAAGAAAAGTCACACAGTTCAGATAACAGTGTAATTGGACATTCACCTGTTTGCCATTTCACACGTCCATGGACGAAAAACTCACTCACCTCCCAGCATGCTTTGCCACTCTTTTACTTACAGCAAATCCATAACAATGAAACAGGTGACTTTCATGCTGCTGTCAGGAACGATCTAATTTCAGCTCTGGGTGACTGATTGCAATTGGCTTTGCCTCATCTGATAATTAATCTATGTCACCATTAATTGGAAGAGAGAATAATTACTGGCAGTGTTGACAGTGACTGTTCGCTTCCCCAGATTTCCCCATCGTGTTGGCCCAAATAAAGGCTTTGAGATTCAGTACTTAAAGTTTGTGTAAAGTGTAACAATACCTATGCCCATGTGACATTTTCAGACACTCTGTCTAATGTACTTTTGTTTTTGTGTTTACCAATCTTTTTTAGCTCACTGAGAGCTGTCTCTCTCAATCACTCCTCAATGTTCTATCTTAATTTTGTGGAAGTTTAAAGTTTTCAATGAGCTGGAGATGAATGATTAATGAATAAATTTAAATGCTTCATTTTGTCCATGGATCATTAGTCAAGTCCTTTGTGGTAAGGACCTGAGAAAGGAGGGGAAATTATTGAGACATTAGCCTGAAGCAAGCTTGAGGTAAATATTATGCAAAAGAGAGAGACAGAGAGATGGAGACACATACACACACACACACACACACACACACACACACACACACACACTCAGAAAGAGAGGGGGAAAACAGAAGAAAATGGGACACTGCAAATGAGCAACTTTGATGGCCTTGGTGAAAGACCTCTTGAAATTTCTAATCTCTGGTAGCTCTTAGTTTAGTTTAATGGGCACATCTGGCCATTTGTTCCCCAATGTCTACAAAAGGGAAAACATGTTTCAGTTAAACTAATTGTTTACAGTACGTTGCTTAACTAGAGATCCAAATCTTTCTTCTTCTCATTAACATAGCCATTTTGGCTTTCAGAATCTGCTACAGACTGAAACACTGTGTGTTTTATAAAAAGAATAGCTACTGGTCATAATCAAAATTTAGAAATTAAAGATCTCTGGTAAGTTTTAGTTTCTGTTTTTATATCATCTCCAGAGCAAATGATACTAAGCCTAGAAATATATTTTTTAAGTTTTTCTTACTTTCAAATAAGGTCTTTGTTCATAAAATAAGTTCTAGGAAACTACTATAGTAATATTTTTTTTTTGCTCATACATCTAGGTTTTATGAGCACAGTATAAATTGATCTTTACCTCAATTTACTTTTCTGAATAGATGTGCATGCACAATACAACAATAATGAAAACTTAGTCTCCTTAAACTTCTCATTATAAACACACTACTTGAAGGCCTCATTTTGTGTTGGCCTTCTCACTCCCAAAACACGAATATAACATAGCCTAGTGATGTATCAACATTGAAGGGCAGTATAGTGTTGAATAAAATATCCAAATATTTAAATGGAATTAACACTGTCCAAAGGGTAATTGAACATTCTTATTAAGAACCAATGATGTCCTAGCTCTTCAGACATTGAAGGGGATGCTTTATTTTCTTCTAGAAGTGTCTACTTTATAGAAGCTGTCTCCTTGGTCGCCTATGTTGCATTTTAAATTAAATTGCAAATCAAAGAATCTAAAACAGTTTGCCTTCTGAAAATCATCTAGACAAAAATTTCTCCTCATTAATGACTTTCCAAACTCAATCATTACAGCATTAGAGCTCTCATAAAATGGCTCTTGAGAGAAAATATGTTGTATTTTATCAAATTCCCTTTTAGTTTTTGAATTTCTCTTTATAAACATTTAAAATTTTTTGTAGCTCTGCATGCTAAAATGAAAATCTATATGTCGAGAGTAGCGCTTCTGAAAGAAAATACATACTCAATGACTTTGTCATTAAAAAGACATAAAATACAGAATTATCATAAAGTGACATTTCAATGTTTTCTATCATGAAAAAATTTAAGACGTCCATACATTGGTTATTTTAGGATTTCCAATCAGGTACTAAGGAAATTAGATAGTAGAAAATCAATAGCGTGACTCCACATTTGTCTTTCAACTCACCAAAGTCACTTCAGTGACATCTCTCATGACAAAACAAAAGTGAGAAGCCAAGATCTGAGTAAGAGCTTGCAGGTGAGAAGTGACATCCAGACCCATGTGTCAGCCACCCCCTTGACCCAGTGTTTTCTTTATGCTGGTAAATAAATATGGACAGATCCCATTGAAACCACAATAGGCAGGTTCTCCTTTAACTACATTTCCACGGCTGAAATGATCTGTTACTAACTTGCTTCTGCACGAATCTGTGTCTGACAAAACCTTCCAGGAGGGTCTATATTACTGCTCTACTTTACACTACAGTGGCAGTGTGAATTATGTAAAATCTTCTGACATTTCAGCAGGAAGACAACAACTTGTAAAAAGTGGAACAAAGCTAGCTAATCTGTAGAAATCATTGAATCTGTTACCCTATTAGATAAACCTTAGTGTTTCATGTCCACTCTGAGGGAATTTAACTTTAGATAACAAAAATAAATGCTATGAGACAACATTTATAGAATATAAATACTTGGATACTTGGGCGGTGGGGGGGACAATTCTTTGATTTGGTATGATTATGTCTGTACACGTGATTTACAAACATTAATATGCCATAGTAAGAACATGTAAATTAAAATAGGTTAAATGTTAGTCAGAAGGAAAGTATGGAATCAAATGGACCAAGAGGGAAGTTTATACAAAACTGTATCCATGAAGTCTTATGTATTTGTAAGTAATGACCTCAAATTAGGCTCTGAGGTTTCTAGTAGCCCACATAAAGGAGCAACCATTGCAATAGCTTGGTCATTCCAAGTTTGTAATACTAGACATGAGTATTTAGAGGAATGTGCAGAATTTTATTTCATTAAACATTGAGCTATTATATAATTAAGTTTCATATTCAACGCTGTGTTCCCAGGGTTAGACATACTCTATCCCTGGCAAAAGAGGAAAAACTTAAACATTCACTGTATAAAAGAATGATTCACATCTGAGGTCAAAATTTTACAATAATAAAATAATAGCCTCTGAATTTCTCCTGGAAATCCTTTAGCAGAATTAAGTGCTTACTGTCCCATTGAAGGTCTTAGACTTTCACCTACCTGTGACCATAACCAACTTAGAGTGGTTTCCAACTAGGCCTTTGCAGATCTTCTCCATTGGTTTACTAAGTATAATTGTTTTTTGGATAAAGTATAATGCCAACTAATCCAGAATTGTTCCACTGGTATCTTATAAGTAGCTACTTGGTACTGAAATTCCCCAAATCTTATTATTCCAATTATAACTTTTAATGCATTTTACTATATGTAACAATATCTATTTGGCAGGTTCTTATCTTCAAATTTCATTTGTCATGAGTACAGTAAAACCTTGGATTGCGAGTAACTTGTTCTGCAAATGTTCTACAAGATGAGCAAACATTTCTAATAAATTTTAACTTGATAAACGAGCAATGTCTTGCAATACGAGTAGTACGTGATGCCAAATGTCACATGACCACAACTGAGCCAATGGTTCTTCTCTCTCTCTCTCTCTCTCTCTCTCTCTCTCTCTCTCTCTCTCTCTCACTGCGGGATTATGGGTGATCGTCTCCCATGCTTGGATGCTCGGTCTCAGGCCCCGGTGTTTGGCAGAAATCAGTGATTTTTCAGAACGTTGGAGGAACATGGCCAGGAGCTGACCACCAACAAACTGATGGATCTACAATGCAAGCAACAGAAAGTGTATGGAGGAGATCTCATCTGCAGAGGAGGAGGAGAAAAAGACAGAGGAATCCCTCACTTCAAATGAGATTAGGAATAATGTGGGAAACAGTGCAAAATTTTGCAGAAAAGCACCACCAGAATAAGGCTGTAGCAGTGCGAGCGATGAATCTGTTTAATTATAATGCAATGTCACATTTCCGCGAAATCCTCAAAAGGAGGCAAAAGCAAGAATCATTGGATAGGTTCCTTGTTAAAGTTACACGAAAAGAAAATGATTTGATTGAGCCAATAAGGAGCAGTGATTCTGTTAGTGATAGTGACAGTCATCCTACACAATAACCCTCCTCTCTCTTGTCTCCCTCACACCAGCTACAAAGGTTTTCAAAAGTAAGTGCAGGTTAATTTGTTTATTTTTCTTTATATTTTGTATTTGCTTTATTATTTTGTATTATATTGCTGTATTGTAATCATTTTTATATGAATATTTTTGGGCTGTTGAACGAATCATCTGAGTTTACATTATTTCTTATGGGGAAATTTGCTTTGATGTACAACTGCTTTGGATTACAAGCATGTTTCTGTAATGGATTATGCTCGCAAACCAAGGTTTTACTGTATAAGATTACAAGGTGTAAGGAAAACAGTGCAATACCATTTGTAGTATATGTGTGTATTTATCTTCTAGAGTCATAAATTGACAATCTCATTCAAATGTAAAATGTGTATAGTGAAGATGTGAATAACAGCATGGAAGAGGGGGAAACAGGTCAGAGATAATGAGAAGGAAAAGAGAACAAATAAAAAAGGAAATGTTTTGTTTAAGCCATTTAGAGTAATATTTTGTTTCTCAGTCTTCATCAAAATCACAAAGCAGTTTCTGAATATGAGTGTAATTGTATATGTCTCTATTTGCAATAATTTTATTTTGGCTTTTTGAACTGAATCACCCATTAAGGTATTATTTTAATGGCTGGATTTATTAAATAATTTGAAACAAATCATGTAAGGAGATAGGCATGCTTCCTAAGAAATCTGTTCTGAGCAAGACAAGCATACTTCATTTGAACAAGAAATTCAAAAGTCCATTGCTGGATTCCAAAACAATTCTGCTGTGCTCCTATGTCACACTCACACAGCTAGTCTATAAGTGTACCAATTTAGCTGTGACACATCAGCATAAATT